AGAGAGGGTGAGAGGTGATGGTTATGGAGAGGCTGTCTGGAGGGTGCAGGCGAGGAGGCACGGGAGCTGGGAAGGCAGCGAGGAGGTGGTGTCAGTGCAGAAAGGGAAGGGGAGAGTAAAGCGAAAGCCGCTGTTGAGCAGGAAGAGGTTTGAGCCAAGGGGAAGGCAAAGGAGCAAGAGCGACGCTTGGCATGGAGGAGAAAGGAGAGATGAGTGAGGAGCAGGGGTTGGCGGCTAGATGTGAAAAGCAGAGGAGGAATGGGATCTAGAGGGAGAGAACACTCTGGGTCCTGTGAGAACGCTCTGACTCCTGTGTCTCTGCAGCTGAGAGTTCCCCAGTGGGGATGTAACCCCGACACTTGTCACCGGGGCTGGCAGACATCAATCCCTGCACCATGTTAGCATGAGCTTGCAGTATCAAATGAAGGGTGGCAAAACCTCAGCTCTGTCTTCTGCTTGGGGGAAGCTCCCAAACAAAGCCAGAAGTGACACAGAAAAATTTAATCTGTACAATTTCCATAGAGATTTTAATCACAAAGTTTTCCCTGGCTCTATCGCGAGTGCTTGCAGTCTCCTGGGCATTGCTAACCAGAGGTTGCTCTTGTCCCACCAGCTCCTGGGTAACATCCTGGTCATCGTCCTGGCCTCCCATTTAGGCAAGGATTTCACTCCTGAAGCCCACGCTGCCTTTACAAAGCTGGTCCGTTCTGTGGCCCATGCTCTGGCTCGCAAGTACCACTAAAGTGTCACCAGGAAAGCCCGGCAGCATCTCCATCAGCATGTCGTGCTCCAGATCTGACAGCTCGTAACAGCCAAATAAAGCTCTTCCTGTGAAGTGTCTCTTGTGTCCGTGTGTTCCTGAGAGCTGGAGGGTTTGGGGAGAATGGGACATGGGGAGTGTGGTTTGGGGTTGTAAGCTTGAGCAGGATGGGCATTTTGTTCCCAGAAATTACCTTTTCTGTATGTTTTTTCATGTGAGATTTGTCTGAGATTTGCATCTGGACATCATCCTGGCAGGGTGTTGTGTAGAAACAGCCCTGTGACCTCTGTGGTCACACACTGGGAAGTTTGCATTGAGGAACTGGTCGCTGATTTACTGTGTAGTATGTGTTTTCTTGCCAGCAAGGGGAACTTGCAGGATTAATAATTTTTAGGGAGGATAAACAAAATGAAGACTTTAATCTACCCTGGCTCATTCCTGGCGTAAAGCCTGGAAGAAATTAGCTGACTCATACTAGCCAAGCACCCAGCTGGGTGGGGGTAGGTTTTAGATAAACATTTTGCTATCAAGACCTGTCCAGACTTTGTTTATGCACCTTTTTTCCCTCCCTGTGCTGCCCATTCTGCAATTACAGGGGCCCAATCCTGCTAACAGGACACCAGTCTATTAATATTTTTCTGAATGGGAGTGTGAATCGATGCTCTGTGACTACAGGGGAGCATTTGGGGCTTTTAAGCATCTGCAGAGCAGGACTCTCTAGGCTAGAGTTTGTTCCTGGTGTGGGAAACTCCATCTGCCCAGGAGCATGACACGGTAAAAGCAGTGGTTTGTTGAATGTAGATGGTTACTTTTTACAGGGAAAAGAGGGAATTGCTGTATACCCCAGTGTCTCTGTCACCGTGCTGGTAATGTGTCCGATCCCTGATTGATCCGCATCTGTGGGCATCCCACCCTCTGCCCCTGACCTACGCAGTGGAGGGTGTTAAAAGCCCTCCGTGACTCATAAAAGTACTTCCTCACACACATTTCTCTAAAGGAGAGACATGTTTGTCCTGGTGTCCGAGGCAGACAGTGGTAAGGCGTGTTAAGTTCTGAAGTTCATTCCTCCCTGCAAGGAGTCTGGCTCAGGTGTCCACGACCATGAAAAGAAAGTTTCTTACATGATTTTTCACAGATTTTCACAGAATCACAGAATTACTGAGGCTGGCAAAGACCTCCGAGACCATCAAGCCCAGCCCATGCCCCAACACCCCCACCTGGGCCAAACCAGGGCACCAAGTGCCACATCCAGCCTCTCCTTAAACCCCCCCAGGGATGGGGACTCCCCCCTGCCCTGGGCAGAGCATCCCCGGGCCTGAGCACCCCCTCCCGGCGGAAACCCAACCCCAACCTCCCCTGACGCAGTTTCAGGCCGGGCCCTCTCGTCCTGGGAGAAGAGCCCGACCCCCCTGACTGCCCCCTCCCAGCAGGGAGCTGCAGGGAGTGATGAGCTCCCCCTGAGCCTCCTCTTCTCCAGCTGAACCCCCCCAGCTCCCTCAGCCTCTCCTCACAGCACTTGCCCTCCAGGTCCTTCCCCAGCCTCGTTGCTCTGAATGGTCTTTTCTCACAAGTAACATGTGATAGGACAAGATAAAACAGCCTCAGGTTGCACCAGGGGCAGTTTAGATGGGATACCCGGCAAAATTTCTTCCCCAAAAGGGTTGCCAAGCCCTGGCTTGGGCTGCCCAGGAAAACGGCGGAGTCGCCATCCCTGGAGGGATTTAAAAGCAGGAGAGATGTGGTGCTCAGGGACACGGGGCAATGGTGACCTGGCAGTGCTGGGTTAGCAGTTGGACTCGATTGTCTTAAAGGTCTTTTCCAGCTGATACAATTCTATGATTCAGTGACTTTCCTTTGTACCTGATTGTTCATAGACTTTAGGCAGAATGACTGAATGATCTGAAGATTTAGGTCTCCTGCTGCAAGCAAAGAGTCTGAAGTGAGGGAGGAGGCCTCTCAGGCTGGACCCTGTGGGTCAATACAGCAGGGGAGGGAGGAGTTTTTCGGTTTTGGGGTTTCTGCTGGGGTGCCCCTTCCCAGGAGCACGGACGGGGGTTTCCCTCCCCTGCATCCAGCAGTGTCGTGGGATGGTCATGGTGCCTGCTGGCTTCACTCCCGGGCCCCGGCCCCAGCGAGGGGATGAGACCCTAGCCCCTGTCCCGCCAGCAAACGGGACCCAGGGGATGTCCTCTCCCCACGCTGCTTTGCCTGCTCCTGCTCTGTCTCCTGTGTGATGGCAGAAGGTGACGGCTGCAGGAGCGGACATCTTCCCCGTGCAGTCAGGGGAGCAGAGTGGGTGCCCCCTCCTGGAGGGGCTGGTAAGGGGGTGCAGGGGGTGGGCACAGGCCCTGTTTGCCTGCCTGTTGTCTGCCCAGTGCGTGCACCCTGGCAGTGCTTGACTTGGTTTGTCAGCCTGCTCTGGCACACCAGCCCCCACACACTCGATTTTCCTGAGGAGAGGCAGATGTAGGCAACTCTAATGAAGATTTTTTAATCCCTATTCCACTGGAAATAAAATCTACAACTAAAGGAAGAAAGAGATATAGTTGCACTGAAAATCTCCTTCAGTATTTTCTTTCTTTTAATTGATTTTCTTCCCATTCCTGTGTTTTCACTGAAAGGCCAAGAAGACAAGTAGCAGGAGGTGGTCCCCAGAGGGAGGCAAGCCCTGACATCTGGAGAAGAGCTCAGCCAGCTTTGCTGCAGCTGGACATCCACACACCTCGCCTGGTGACTCGTCTGACAAGAACCCACGCCTCTTAGCCCAATCTGAATTCCATGGGAAACAACAGAAAGGCAGCAGCCTGGCCCAGGTGCCTCTTGATCAGGATCAGTCCCCCCCACTTTCAGCAAGGACAGTGTTTCCTGGGGTTTTGTGCAGAAAATATAACAGGAGAGCCTCCTCCTGGCAAGAGTGCTCGGGGATGTCCTGGGGGGAAATTCGGACAAAGCCCAAAACATCTCCTGCCTAAAGAAGCTGGGTGCAACCTGGCTGAATGTGAGGGGAAAATGTGAAATACAGCAGCTGTGTCAGGGCGGGTTCAGAAGGGAAGGGCCCTGGGTTCCCCCTGGGCTGAACATGCCTGAGCTGAGTTTTGCTGGTTTTTGATTCCACAGCAGATCCTGCAGTGGCAAACCTTTTCAAAGCCCAGTTCACCTGACCTTTATGGATGTGGATGCAAGCAGAAATGGGATGAAAAGGGTGACCCTGTGTGATGCTGCTGCCCAGCAGCACGGCGTCTGGCTGGTCCTTTTACATCTGAGGGGAGAACATTTGACTGAGCTTCTTCCTGCTCCGAAAGGGACAAGTGAATCAAGCAGGTCAAGTTCTGTTATGAGAGGAGGACAATAGGATTAATGCAGGTGTCATCTGCAAAGCCTGAGCGTCCTCTGAACAGCTCCACAGCTCCTGGTGCTGACCGGGACTGGAGTCCTCCTGCAGTGCAGGTACCTCCAGGGCTTCCTGGTGGCAAAAAACCCCCCTGGGTTGCTCTGCCACGGGGCAGGAGCATTCACCATTTTGCTGACAGAGGCTAAGGCAAGGCAGAACCTGGCATTTGAGAGAGCCAAGGCACAAAGCTCACACCCCATGCACACATGTTAAATCGTGATGGACAATTGCATAGCGGCTCCTGCAGCTCTTCCCCTGCCAAGCCGCCCACGCCTGGTGGGTAAAATGGAGAACTGCGTGCACAGGGGGGAAGGGATAAAGCTCTTGAGCTCAGGATAACCAGAGGCCCCTTCTCAGCATGCCACACCATGGCCATCCCCT